GGGGGGGGGGGCGGTCAGAGGTCAAGAGGCCAGCAGGCTCAAGGGTTCTGTGGACGGGCTGGTCCGTCCAGGCCAGCCATCACCTCTCCAGGAAAAACTTGAGAGCCCGGTCGATGTTCATGCGGTGTCCCACCCTGGTCACCCCCAAATCGACGTAGTCCTCCTTGGTCAAGGCGGGCAGGTGGGAGCCATCGATCTCGTGGTCCAGGAACCGGGCTCGGTGTTCGGCCAAGCCCAGCCACTCTAGCCAGTCAGCCACATCGAACTTGGTCCAGAAGCCCAGAGGTTTAGCGCCGAACGGCTTGTCCGGGGGCAGGGAAAGCAGGCGGGTCGGTGAGAGGGAGCGGGAGGCCCCTGACAAGGCCCCGCCGAGACCCCCGGACATCCCGGGGTGGGGCGCCACAAAGACGGGGGCGAAGGGGTCGGCCGAGCCTCCTGCTCCTCCGGTGGGGGAGCCGCGGATGTCAAAGAGGCCCGGGTAGAGGGGTCCGGAAGGCAGGATAGGGAGGGACGAGGGCCGGGGCGCAGGGCTGACCTTGTGCTCCGAGGCGGGCAGCAGCGAGGGGCTGGGGGCCCGGCGGAGCAAAGGTGGGCGCATCTCGAACTCCACGCCCTGGAGGTGGCGGGCGGACGTGGAGGAGGAGGAAGCGGATGGGGAGGTGGCCCCCGGGGCTGCAGCGGCTGAAGGGGACACCGCGGTTCCTGTGGGGAGTGGTGGCAGAGGTGGTTTGGACCAGTTCTGAAACAGGCTGCTCACAGGTTTGGAGAGGATCGAGGACTGGGAGTCTTCGGAGAGTCTGGAATGTGATAAGGGGGCGGGGGTGGAAGAGAGGGGTGGGGTCGGGGGCAGGGGCGGGGTGAGAAAGAGGCAGAGGTCAAGATACAGGGAGAGAGGAAGAGAGAACAGGGCGGGGGGTAGAGAGATGGGAAAAGATGGAAGGAGCGAGCGAGGGGGTAAGATGGATGTCAGGACAGAAAATGAAGGGAGAAAGTGAGAGGACAGGGAGAGGGCGACAGTCGAGAGAGATGAAAGAAAAAGAGACATTAAGTGATAATAATAATAATCGCCACCACTTACTGATGCTCACGTGTGCCAGGCATTGTTCTAAGTGCTTTTACAGATCGCATCTCAATGGAATCCCCGTGACAGCCCTGATGCAGGTTACTATTATTATCAGCAGCACAGAGAGGTTAAGTAACTTGCCTAAGGACACACAGCCAGGAAGTGGCAGAGCCCAGTTATATGGCACCAAAGTCTGAGCTCTTAACCACTACCCTATACTGCCTTCCGGGTTATGGCCAAGTCACAGCAGAGTGGAAGACAGGGAGACGGTGAGAGAGGAACAAAAAAAGAGGGGGAGCGTTCAGGGGAGAGAGATGGAAGGGGGCAGGGGACAGAGAGAGAGAGAGAGATGAGGAGAGGGCAATGAAAGAGAGAAGAAACGAGGGGAGAAAAGGGTTCCCCTCATCCCTTTAGCTCCCTCCACAACAGTCCCTGCCTCAGGGCCTTTGAACGGTTCCCTCAGCTTAGCACTCTTTTCCCTCGAGGAGCCATAGTTTGCTCCCTTTCCTCCTCCAGTCTCTGTTCAGCTTGCCTGTTATTTGAGACACCTCTCCCAACCATCCCATTATTGTATTTTTTTCCCCTAGGATGATGGGGACTGTCTGACCTCCACCTCTGCTTGTCAGGCTGTGAGCTCTATAAGGGATATGCTGTGCTTGTTTTGTCCATTGCGGGGTCCCTCCCTCTCCCCCTGAAAGGGCACCCGGTTAACAGAATAGATGGCAAGTCAATCATTGGTGGATGGGTCAACTAAATTAAGCATCCTTTCCTCCGTCATCAGTGAGATGCCTTAAGATCTCAAAGACCTCTAAGACCTTAAAAACCACCTTAGAATATCGCTGTAAGGATTTGAGGGTTTGATACCCTCAAGCAGAATTAAAGTAAGCTCTGAAGAAGGACAAGAGGGTTAAAAAACCTCCACTCGCTCTGTGTGTCTGAGTCAGGAATGTGACTCTATACTTTCCCTAAGATTAGAAGGGCTCGAACTCTGAGCTGATTCCAACTAGCTAGCTTCTTTGGAAAAGTTCCCTGCATCTTTCCGGATTCCTCCATCTATACTTGATGGCCTTTTAAGAGACCCCCTCCCCTCCTCCATCTCATGGTACAAAAATTGGCCTCAAAAACCCTTTTAGGTGAGTTCTATGTCTTCCTCCTTCTACAGAGAGGTAGATTCCTTTGCCGAAGGTCACCCAGTTAGCAAGTGCGGCTGGAACCAGGACCACCCCCCCCCAAACAAAAACAAAAACAAAAACCTAGCTCCGCAACCATGCTTGTAACCACCATGCCCTAAAGCCTCTTGTCTTGAACCAACACTGGGCTCAAAGGGACTCAAAGATTTCAGGGATTGTCAGAAATGACAACCCACCAAGGAAACGGACATTGGCAAGTTGTGCTCCAGTCTCCTCTGTTCATCACTCTTTTTGTTCATCATGGAATGTGGGTTGTCATGGTGATGGGAGGAGATCACAGAAGCTACTAAGATAAAGGGAAATTTTGAGTGCCTGGGAAAGGATGCTTCTCTAAGGGCAAAGTTCTCCAACCAGCCTGGTTTGTTTTCTTTCTACCGCCTAAAGCGACGGGGTTGATGCGGGAGGTGGACTCCGGTACCCACAGCATCAGCCCCTCTGGCTTCCACTGCCAACCGCCAGCCCCGCACCCTGCTCACCTCTGCCGCTGCAGGGAGGAAGTCCGCTCCGGGACGTAGCTGGCTCCCCCGTGGTGGCTGTCCCCGCTTCCCCCGCTGCCTCCCCGGGCCCAGGGCAGAGCGCCACCAGCTGCCGAGGAGCCCCCAAACTGTTGAAGCTTGGAGCTGAGTTCACTGATGATGCTGGCTTTTACAGTGGCCAAGGCTGAGGCCTGAGGCTGGGCTAAGGGCCCCGGCAGCGGGGGCGGCGGCGGGCCCGGGCCCTCCTCCCACGGCAGCAGCTTCCGAGGCAGGGAGGAGGCCGACGGCAAGGGCACTGGCGGACCTTCCGGCTCTACAGCTACAGGGCCACCAGCCACGCCTGCCGTCGAGGATCCCGGGCAACCGCTGAGGGCCAGCAGCCCATCGGTTCCCGCCCCCGTCACAGAGACAGTGGGGCTGGTGGGAGTGACAGGGTCTCGGAGTCCCCCGCCGGGGCCCGGCCGCAGGCCTCCTCCGGCCCCAAGCGCCCGGCCCCGGAGCTTAGAGGGAGTCATGAGCTGCGGGGGGTACGGGGGGCCAGGAGTGCCGCTGCCCCCGAAGGCCTGGCCGTCCAAGTAGGCCACGTAGGTGTCCAGGAGCTCCGGCCCACCGGCCACGCTGGCGCCGCCACTGCCTCCGACGCCCCCGGTTCCAGCCCCTGCGCCGCCCCCGCCTTCAGCGGACAGGCTGCTCAGCGTGGAGGCGCTGCTGATGGTCTCCAGGGGGTGGTCGCTGCTGCTCCGACTGTCCACCTCCTCAATACCAGAATCCGTGCCCGGCGGAGGGTCTGGGCCAGGTTGGGGGGCTGGGGGAGCCGGGGCGGCTGGGGCGGGAGGGCCTGGCGGAGGGGGGTCCCCGGGAGCCGTGGGGGCCCCCTGGGTCAGCGTTGCCACCTCGCTGTCATAGGAAGTCAGGCTGGATGCGGTTGAGTCCAGGGTGGGAGGGGCGGCTGCCACGGCCGGGGGTGGCTAGCGGGTGGGGAGGCCCGGGCGTGAGGGGCGACTCCGGCTTCTCGAAGCTATTGGAAAACTCGAGGGGTGGGGGCAGCGGTTCCACAAAGAGGAATTCGCCGTCTTCCACGTCCACTGAGGGGGCGGGCGGTGGCAGGACCAGCAGGGGGAGCCCGTTCTCTTCACTGCCCCGCGGGGAGGTCGGCGAGGGCGGCGCCGAGCGGCGCGGACTGGGCGGCGGGACCCCCGGCCCGTCTTCCGAGGGGGGTCCCCTTCCACCCGCCCCCCCGGCCCGGGGCTGGCAGTTCTCCAGGAACCGCACGTGGAGGGGCAGCCGCTCGGGCTCCTCCGGGGGGGCGCCGGATCTCCAGGGCTTGCTCACCCCGGGGTGCGGGGCGGGGGGCTCGGGCCCCAGCTGCAGCAGGAGGGGCCCGACCCCGGGAGCTGTGGGAGGCAGGCGGTGCAGCAAGGAGCGTCGGGCCGCCGGAGGGCTGGCCGGAAGGGACTTCTCCTGGCTGCCCAGCCCTGCCCGGTACCCCAGCTCCCGGCGGGCCGGGTCCGGGGGCGAGGCTCCCCAGAGGCGCAGCACTGGCTCGTGGTGGGCGTGGGGCGAGTGGTGGTGTGGGGTGGGCGGCGGGGCCTCGTAGCGGGGCGATGGGGGCCTTGGAGGGGGCTGGGGGGGCCCACCGCCCTCCGAGGACTCCTTCAGCGCCCGCTCCCGGGCGGCCAGGGCCAGCCCGAGCGGGGAGGCCGGGTCCAGGGCCTTGCCGGTCAGCGGGTGGACCAGGGGTCGCGGCGGCAGGAAGCTGGTAAAGGCGCTGCTGCCCCCGTAGGCTCGGCCCCCGGCCGCGTAGCCCGCGTAGCCGCTGCCGCTGCTGGCGCCCGCCGACTCCAGCCGGAGGTAGGGCTCGGCCGAAAACATGCCTTCGTCGATTGACTTGGAGTGGCGCAGCCGGGGGCCCGGGGGCGCCCCTGGGCCCAGCGAGCTGTCGCCGCCGTCCTCGTCGCCCGCATCGGTGGAGAGGAAGAGCGTGGATCGCCGGCGGGCTTCGTTCTGCCAGCCCCCTTCCCTCCGAGCCGCCCCCACCAGGGCCGCTCCGAACTGGCTGGTGAAATCCAGGGTGGCCGGGCCACTGGGTGAGGCGGGGGTGGGCACGGGCGAGGGGGACGGCGGCACGGGCGACACGGCCGGGGCGGGGCTGGGCGCGGAAGAGCCGCCGCCACCGCCCGCGGCCTCGGGCTGACTCGGGGGCTCCGCCTCGGTGCTGCTCCCCTGGCTGCTGCGGCCGCTGCTACTGGTGGACGGCGCCTTGATGATGATGGTGGGGATGGGGATGGAGTTCTTTTCCGACGGGGCGGCCGCGGCCGGCGGCGGCGGCGGCGGCGGCTGCGGGGACGCCGGGGACGTGGGCGAGGGGGCGGGCGTGAGGCCGCCGCCCTTCTGGGGCTCGCCTTCGACGACTTTGGTCTGCTTGACCAGCGGGCCCTTGCGCCCGCGGCCGGAACGGGCGGGCACGTACATGGCCGCGCTGGCCGCCCGAGGAGGCAGCTGGAAGTAGCGCAGCGCCGGGGCCTGGGAGGGGCCGCCCGCGCCGCCCCCGCTGCCGTGGTGCGACGGGGACAGGGCCCCCGGGGTCGGGCTGGGCCCGCCGCCCCGCCAGCCTCGCAGGCTGGGCTGGGGCCCCAGAGCCAGGCGGGGTGGGGGGTCGTCGGGGGAGCCGCCGGTCTCCATCTCCGGGGGGTGAGGTGAGGAGGACGGGGCTGGAGGTGTGCTGTAGGGGGGCTCTGGTGGGGACGTGGTGGGCGGCGGGGGGATGTCCTCCGAACCAGGCACAGACAGACTGCGGCTGAACTTCATGGCTGGGGGTGCTAGGTAGGGTCTATCGTCTTCTGCAGCCCCTGGGAAGACACAGAGGATCCAGGAGCAGGGCGGAGGTGGGAGGGGTGGTCTCCCCTAACCCTGTGGAGCTACAGTATTACAACAACAACAGCCGTGCTGATACTGATGGCGACACCCAGTAGATGTTAAGAAGGACGTTAGTCCAGAGCTTCCTTCCCCAGCTGTGGCAAATGCAAATCCGTTCGATACAGTAATTCAGGTTGTGCACTGCACAACAGCAAACAGCAGAGGGAGCAAGAGAGGTGGGGCGAAATTCAGATGTACTTCTTCCCCGGGCCAGGAGGGGGCGTCTTTTCTAACTCGTCCAAAGGCATAATATAGGCTAGGGGTCTCTGGAGAAGGAAATGGCAACCCCAGTGTTCTTGTCTGGAGAATCCCATGGGCAGAGGAGCCTGGCTAGCTACAGTCTATGGGGTCGCAAGAGTCGGACACTAATTAGTGACTAAAGCACCACCACCACCACCACCAGGGGTCTCTTGAGGTGAGCAAAACTGGCTTGAGCCAGGAAGAGATACCTTGTTTATGTGCATAGTTCTAGGTTTCTTTTCTTGACAGGCAGAAAAGAAATGTAATTAGCACATCAAATCTGTGATTTCACAGACGGAACTCAGGATGAGGTTAATATTTTAAAAGAGGGAGCCAATTTATAGGTAAGCAATGTCAGGTGGATGTAAGGGTAGCTGTTATTAGGAAAATGACACACATTGGTGGACTGTGGACACCGACGTTAGGGAAAAGCTAGATTCAAACAGCAAGACAACTTGGAGAAAACCAGAGGAGTGAAATCTTTTGCCTACTGATCAACTGCCAGGGCTCAGTCCCTCACTCTCTCTTCAGCTGACTTCTCTCTCCCCCTTGACTATCTCAGTCAGTGTCACCATTCATTCACCACTTCCCTGCTGAAGATTCCCATGCTTGTCTTGGACCCCATCTTTGCCCCAGAGCTCTAGGCTCATGTATCCAAATGTTGCATCCTTTTGGATGTCTCATTGGCATCTCAAGCTCAGCAGACCTTAAAATGAGCTCCTGATCTCTCCTGTGATCTTCCCCAGCTGCTCTCTCAGCAAATGGCAGCTCAGTCCCCCACCTACCTCAGGACCTTTGCACTGACTGTGCCTGCTCCATGGAATGCCTTATCTCCAGATATCCCCACGGCTCCCCACTCATCTCCAAGTTTCAGCTCAAACCTGCCCCCCAGCATGCCTGACCTCTCTCATTCTACTCTTTTTTCTCCCCCCCCATAGCACTCACCACAATTAACATACTATATTATTTTCTTAATTCTCCTCCTTATAATCTGTTGTCTGTCTTCCCCTGCTAGAAGGTAATTTCCGCGAGGGCGGGACCCTTTAGTCTGTTTTGTTTCCTGACAAATCCCCAGTAGTCTAGCCTTGCATATGGTAGTGCTCAATAAACATCTGTAGAATGAATGAATAAATAAATGGAGTCAGGTATGAGAGAATGAACCAGAGTCTGTGGTGGGGGCTTTGACTTACTGCATCCAGGCAGGGGCAGTGATGCCCCATTTTCTAGATGCAGAGCCCCAGGCCCAGAGAGGTGAAGCCATCTCCCCCTGATCACACAGCTGGGATGGACAAGAACCAGGATTCAAACCCAGGTTTGCCCAGCAACAAAGCCTGAGCTCTTTGCCCAACTTCATGGTCACATATGGAAGGAGAAAAGAACATCCCCAGGCACCCTTGTTATCCCCATAAACCATCACCCTCCCAGCCTCCCCTTTCCCCTCCAGCATCCCTTACGCCTACCCCTGCAGGTGACATACCAATAGATTTTTGCCGGAGCATGAGCCCGGGTCCAGGAGGCAGGTAGGAAGGACGTTCATAACTTGGCTGGGAGCGGTGGTGGGGATCAAAGCTTGACTTTGGGTTGGCAGTCAGAGGAGGAGAGAGAAAAGAGAGCGAGGGAAGATCAGTCAGGGCATGGAAATCCATGGATTCCCCCCCACGGCCACCCTCCTTCCCTTCTCCAGCCTCTGCAGGAAGGGAAAGGGGTGTGAAGAAAGTGGAAGGGAATTCTGGGGAAGAGAAAAGTTTCTGAATCCTGACGGCATCATTGGGGAGGAAGAAAGAGGGAAAGAAAAGGCAGATTATCAACTGAGTCTGCTCTGTTTCCAACCGACCACTAATCTGGGCACTTTTTCTCCACTCGTGCTGTCACTACTCAGGTCCAAGTGACCACCATCACTTGCCGGGATGGCAGCAGTAGCCTCTTCCTTGGCTCCTGGCTGCCACAGCTGTCCTGACACCCTTTTCTGATCTACTTTTCACAAGAGTCAGAGGCGGGCTTCCCTGGTGGTCCAGTGGTTAAGGATCTGCCTTGTAATGCAAGGGCCAGTGGTCCGATCCCTGATCTGGGAAGATACCACATGCTGTGGAGCAACTGAGCCCAAGAGCTGAAACTATGGAGCCTGTGCACAGCAACCCTTGAAGCCAGGGCACTCTAGAGTTGGTACAAGAGAAGCCACAGCAAGGAGAAGTCTGTGTACTGCAACTAGAGAAAAGCCCACGCAGCAACAAAGATCCAGCACAGCTAAATAAATAAAAATCTAAAAAAAAAAAAGAAAGAAAGAAAACGTGAGGGATCTTTCTAAAAGAAACTCAGATCATGCTATTGCCCTGCTTAAAATCCTACTATTGCATCTCACATCAGTTCAGAGGGGATCCAAATTTCCGAGTCTGATCTTCAAATCCCCCTGCGGTAGGCACTGCCTGTGCTCACCCAGATATCTCCTTGGCCAGGATGCTGTGTCTGTCCCCAGCTGCAGCATCACCTTCCTACAGCACTTGGCAGCCCCTTGTTCTGAAGAATCACCCTCCCCCAAAGGAGCTGATGTGCCCAGGCAGTTAGGTGTCCCCACTTCTGGAAGCAGCAGCCCGCAGCCCACTGACATGAAAGTCTAAGGCGGGATTAACTCCATCCTGTCATTCACACTCCAGAAATCTGTGAGAGTTCAGGCTGAAGGGGAAATTCAGTGGAGATCAGGCTTGCTGACCTCTGTGGCTCATCCTATCTCCCCAACGCCCTTAAATGTTCCCCCTTATCTCAGACTCTGACTCTAGGAAACCCAAACTAAGAGACTATGTATGATCTAGCCCTTGCCTACATCTCCGGCTCTGGTCCCACCACACCCACCTTTTCTTGCTCCTCCGATGCCCCAAGGTCCATCCCTGTTTAGGACACTTACAAGTCCTGGATCTTCTCTCTGCAATGGTTTCCTCCTAATCATCACAGATTCTTTCCCATCTTTATCTCTTCTGCTCAAACATCCCTCCCAGTCACAGCCTACTGCATTTCCCTGTCCTGTCTTCTTCAGGGCACTTCTCTCCATCTGAAATGATCTGGTTTACTTGTTTACTGTCTATCTCCCTGGCTAGAATGTTGGCTCCCTGAAGGCGCCAGACATTTTCCCAGGCGCTACGGGTACAGGGTCAAGGGCTTATGATAATTCTAGAGGAGAAATGTTTTCATTTCTTTTCAGATAGGAAGGAGACTTGAATACAGTTCAGTCTGGATAACATTCATCCCAGGTTAGAGTTCTTATAATTATTTGCTTACTTGTTTGTTGTCTGTCTTTCTCAGCATGCGGCCTACCCAATACCCATTCTACTTGATAAGAAGAGCCTGATCTTCTTTGGCACTTATTAAGAGACTGTATTTCCCAACCTCCCTTGTGATTAGGTGTGGTCATGGGACTAAGGCAGGCCCAAATGCATAAGTGGAAGTGTTGTGTGCTATTTCTGGAAAGTCTCATTAGAGGTAACCCAAGAAGCAACAATGTGCCCTCCTTTGCACTCCTGTCTTTCCAGTATTCCTTATTCCTGCTATCCGGAATGCTGGTGCAATAGCTGGAGCTCCAGCAGCCATTGTGGACTATGAGGGAACTTTGTGTCTGGGATGAGAAGGATTCTAGAACTTCATGACCATAGAGGGTACCACACCTCCCTTGGACTTCTTACTCCTGACTTGTTCAACATGACAGAGATATAAGCATTTATCTTGTTCAAACCTCTGTTATTTGGAGATTTCTCTTACCATGGAACCCAATTCCCCCAAAATACCCCCACTCCCTTTGCCAATATAAGTTCTCTAAAGGAAGTACTTTATTTAAAAACAAACTTTGTTTGACAGGTTCCCTCCTATACTACCAGGACTGGGCAGCAGGTCTAGCACACAGTAGATGCTCAGCAAATATCTGTAGAATGAAGGACATCCTGACAAGATGTGGCAAACCACCAATGATGTAACACTAGATCGCCTCTGAAAGACTGAGGTGGGGTGGATCACAGTGACAGGGGAGAAGTCAAAGCAGGAGGAGGCAATGGAGGGGGCGGTAAGTCCTGGATCTTCTCTCTGCAATGGTTTCCTCCTAATCATCACAGATTCTTTCCCATCTTTATCTCTTCTGCTCAAACATCCCTCCCAGTCACAGCCTACTGCATTTCCCTGTCCTGTCTTCTTCAGGGCACTTCTCTCCATCTGAAATGATCTGGTTTACTTGTTTACTGTCTATCTCCCTGGCTAGAATGTTGGCTCCCTGAAGGCACCAGACATTTTCCCAGGCGCTACGGGTACAGGGTCAAGGGCTTATGATAATTCTAGAGGAGAAATGTTTTCATTTCTTTTCAGATAGGAAGGAGACTTGAATACAGTTCAGTCTGGATAACATTCATCCCAGGTTAGAGTTCTTATAATTATTTGCTTACTTGTTTGTTGTCTGTCTTTCTCAGCATGCGGCCTACCCAATACCCATTCTACTTGATAAGAAGAGCCTGATCTTCTTTGGCACTTATTAAGAGACTGTATTTCCCAACCTCCCTTGTGATTAGGTGTGGTCATGGGACTAAGGCAGGCCCAAATGCATAAGTGGAAGTGTTGTGTGCTATTTCTGGAAAGTCTCATTAGAGGTAACCCAAGAAGCAACAATGTGCCCTCCTTTGCACTCCTGTCTTTCCAGTATTCCTTATTCCTGCTATCCGGAATGCTGGTGCAATAGCTGGAGCTCCAGCAGCCATTGTGGACTATGAGGGAACTTTGTGTCTGGGATGAGAAGGATTCTAGAATTTCATGACCATAGAGGGTACCACACCTCCCTTGGACTTCTTACTCCTGACTTGTTCAACATGACAGAGATATAAGCATTTATCTTGTTCAAACCTCTGTTATTTGGAGATTTCTCTTACCATGGAACCCAATTCCCCCAAAATACCCCCACTCCCTTTGCCAATATAAGTTCTCTAAAGGAAGTACTTTATTTAAAAACAAACTTTGTTTGACAGGTTCCCTCCTATACTACCAGGACTGGGCAGCAGGTCTAGCACACAGTAGATGCTCAGCAAATATCTGTAGAATGAAGGACATCCTGACAAGATGTGGCAAACCACCAATGATGTAACACTAGATCGCCTCTGAAAGACTGAGGTGGGGTGGATCACAGTGACAGGGGAGAAGTCAAAGCAGGAGGAGGCAATGGAGGGGGCGGAATAAAGGTGGAGGGCCTAGGGTGACAGAGGAAGAGTTCCCCGAACCGAAGAGGATCCAGACTCAAGGGAGAGGTGTCTGATTGGCATACTGGAAGACCTTCTAAGTGTGGGAAACAGAGGGATCAAAGAACGGGTTAGTTCTGCAGCAAGAGGGATCAGAGTGGCAGAGGAGATGCCAGATTGGCAGAGGAGGCATAATAGCGTCTGAGGAGGCTAGGAGTGACTGCCTGAGGGGCGTTCCGACTCAAGGCGGAACAGGCTGAGCTGTCAACAAACTGGGAGCGTCCTCTCCCGCGCAGAGAGGGCAGCCAGTCAGAGGGTGCCAGGTGCCGTGACGTCACCGGCTGCCTGGCAGATTTATCCCCAGGAGGTCGGCCAGAGGTCCCGCCCTCCTCTGTGCCGCGTCCTGGGTCAGCTCTGGGTCCGGTGCCTCCACAGGAGAGCGTGCCCGGGCGCAGTGCACAGGCTAGAGGCTGAAGATGGGCTGGGAAATTCACGTTAGGGAGCCAGCCCCGGAAAGGGCTGAGGGGAAAGAGACCGGCGTGGGAGGCTGATGGAGAGACAGAGCTAGACAAAAGACAGAGATGGGGGTCCAGAGGTGCGGGGGAGAGAGGAGGGGGCTTAAAACAGCAAGGCAGGGAGAAAAAGGTGGTCCTGCGAGGTCGTGCCATGGAGAGGACCAAGGCCAGCCTAGGAAGGGAAACATGCAGTCAGAGGGTCAGACATGCCCCGGGAGGGAGAGAGGCAGAGAATGCAACCAGGAGGATACGCTAAAAAATAACCAGAGGGAGAAACTGAGTCCAGAGAGAGGCTGAAACTAGAACCCGGACCACCCAGGCCAAGATGTGGGGGACAGGGAGCAGGGGACCCCTGGGAAGCGGGGAGCAGTGACCAGGTAACAGAGACAGTAGCCAAGAAAACCAAGGCCACACAGAGAGGACAGACAGACGAACAGCAGAGCCCTAGGAAGAGTCGGAGCCCAAGAGGATCTTGACCTTCAGTGGATCTACCAGGAGTCTGCAGCCCCCGTGTTGGCACGGTGGATCCTCCCTAGCCCCCTTTAGGTTTAACCCAGAGGTGTATCTCAGGGACCTCTGTCCACTGTGGCGCAGGCCCCCATTAAAAGAAGCCTCAGGGTCTGCACTGGGCTTCCACACTGCCTGCTTGTCCCCCTGGTTTAGATGCAGCGAGAGTCCAGGTGGGAAAGGGGAGAGAAGCCAGAACAGATGGGAGATGGAGACAGATGAGAACAAGATCACCCACTGAGAGAGGCTGAGAGACACAGGAAGGCCATAGAGACACAGGAAGGACACGGAGGAGCCCCGGTGTCTCAGGGACTGAGAAAGATCAGGATGGCTGGTGGGAGGAGGGGGGCAGAGATGGTGACAGAGACAGCCTGCGACATGAGAGGGAGGGCTTGGGGGAGGCCCAGGGACAGACCCCAGGAGGGAGAAGGAAAGAGAAGAAAAGGGGAAATGACCACTGGCCTCCAGGACCCAGAAGAAAAGGAGGTCCCATGAAGACCTCAGGCGTTTTATTTCTAGGAGAAGGGGGTGGGCAGGCAGCTGGTTTTATTACTGGCTAGTGCCTGGGCCCTGGGGGAGGGGTTGTCTTAGGAGCCAGGATCTTGTCCATCTTGTAACAGAGGTTCATGTAAAGAGGGGCTGGCAACCTGGCACTTGGTGGGTACTCCAAGCATTTGTTGAATAAATGAAAACAGGATCGGTCCTAATCTGTTACTAGAGACTCCATATTGAGCCTGGGATGTTGCTGTGGGGTCATCTCTGGGGGTGCAGGCTGGGGTCACAGTGGGGGCTCCAGTTTGTTATGTTATGGTGGCTGGGGGTGCTCACCATCTCTTGAGAGCCTCTGCTAGAAGCTGATCTCATTCAATCCTCCTAAAAGCCAGCAAGCTTGACTTTGGCCATATTTTACAGAACAGGAAAGTGAGGCAGAGAGAAATTATAAAGCATGGGCCAAGTGACATAGTAAGTTAGAGGAAGTCAGGATTTGAAGGCAGGCTTGCCTGGCTCTACTGCCCATGTGCTTTTTTTTTTTTAAATTGAAGTATGGTTGATTTACAATGTTGGGTTAGTTTAATGATTCAGTGTATGTATATATACACACACACATGCATATATGTGTATGTGTCTGTTCTTTTACAGGTTCTTTTCACTATAGGTTATTATTATTGGCCGCATGGCATGCGGGATCTTAATCTCCCTGACCAGGGATCTAACCTGCGCTTCCTGCAGTGGAAGTCTTAACAACCAGATCGTCAGGGAAGTCCCAGGCTGAGAGATTTCAGATTCTTTGAGAAACCAAGGACAGTTGTGAAGCAAGGGCCTGCTGCATGCAGGCCCCTGTGCCCAGCCTTGAGAAGTGGCCGAGGACCCTCTGCCTCTAAATCTGAAAGAAATTCTGGGAGTCTGCATACAAAATCTGCCAGCTGCATTTGGCTCTTGTAAAAGTACTAACCCTTCCAGAGTAGGTGTTAGAACCCTTGGGAGGGTTGTGGATAGATTTTGGGGGTAGGGAGGGGCTGTGCACTTGGGTAGGGAGAAAACTCCCTACATCTTGATTTTCATTAGCCTTCAACTAAAACACAACATTTCCTTAATTAAGGATGTCGCCCACAGACCATGCCAGTCTTAACAAAACGTGTGACTGTATCAGAAATTATAGGTATTTCTGCATTCTTCATGGCAGAGCGGCACATTTCGCTAAACAGTGTTTATGCTTCTTAGAAACTTTGAAATTAGAGTAGTCAAGACCCACCACTGGAACTTGCTGGCTACTGTGTTGAAGAAAAGGCACCAACATTACTGTATCACAAATTCTGCTTTTACAAGTGTTTTGAGGGACTTCTCTGGCAGTCCAGTGGCTGAGACTCCGAGCTCCCAATGCAGGGGGCTGGGGTTCGACCGCTGGTCAGGGAACTAAGTCCCACATGCAGCAACTAAGACCTGGCGCAATCAAATAAATAAATAAAAATAAATATTACTAAAATTTAAAAAGTGCTTTGATAACTGTTTTTCTGTGTACCTGGCTTCTTTTGTTATTTTATGTATTATATTTTGCTTTAATTTTAGTTTTGGTTCAAGGGCCTTGTAACCTCACTTCATCTGCTCACGAGAGTTGAATTCTTTTTGCTGAAGCTTACACTGCCTTGAGGGGCTACACCCTTCCATTGTCACTCCCCATGGTTATGTACTGTTCTTGACCCTTGTGAAGTGAAAGTCACTTAGTCCTGTCTGACTCTTTGCAACCCCATGGACTATACGTCCATGGAATCCTCCAGGCCAGAATACTGGAGTGGGTAGCCTTTCCCTTCTCCAGGGGTTCTTCCCAACCCAGGGATCGAACCCAGGTCTCCCTCTTTGCTGGCAGATTCTTTACCAGCTGAGCTACAAGGGAGGCCCAAGGATACTGGAGTGGGCAGCCTATCCCTTCTCCAGCGGGTATTCCCGACCCAGGAATCAAATTGGGGTCTCCTGCATTGCAGGCGGATTCTTTACCAACTGAGCTATCAAGGGTTCTTAACCCTTATTCATTATGTATTTTATTTTATGCATTATTCAGAGCATTAATTCGGAGCATTATTTGGAGGGCTAGGCCAGCCTGGAACGGTCCACAATCCCTCTGAAGTCAAAGCGCAGGGTTTTCTAGAGTCAGTGGCCCCTTGACCACCAGCTGTGGGTGTGGCCTGTTGAAAGAAGGAGTCAGAGGGTGCGGTCAGAGGGCAGGGAGGGCCTGGGTGGAGAACTGGAGGGTGGTGGTGCGGATGTGTCCCCATGAAGCGGCACAATCCAGTGAAGGACCAGCACGTCCACACCAGAAATGACAGGGCCATGGCTGGACTGTGGATCCCAGTTGCCGAACTACCTGGGGTTGAAATCCTGGCTCCCTCTTTGAAACTCAGTTTCCCTTCTGTATCACAACCAAATGCACCTCCCAGGATGATTCCAAGGAATGAATGAGAATCCACGTTAAAAACAGAGTGTCAGAAATGTGATCAACACCCACTGTAGGTGAGCGGGCAGAGCGGAGACAGAGATGATAATTAATATTTTAATAACTACCACTTGTTGAGCACCTATTATGCGCTGTGCCTGTGATAGGGAGTGCCATCCCTGACCTCCATTTACCTTCCCTGAGATCCTTAAGGCGGGTCGGAGATGGACAGAAAGAGGTGGGTGAGAGAGGGAGCAATGAGGTGTGGGGATGGGGAGTGGAGGGAAGGGACAGAGATGGGATTTGGGGGGAAAAAGGAGGAAGAGGATAGGTAGAGAGGAAAGGGCCCCCCCAGAGTGGGGAGCAAGGAGAGACCCCAGAAAATCCGGTGCCCCTTAGGAAGAGCATTCTACACAGTGGAGTCACAAAGGGTTTGTAGGGGGAGGGATAAAGGCTCCAAGTTGCTCTGTCTACCCCTCAAGCTTCCCTCCCCCAAGTCCCCCAAGTCCCCCAATCCCGCAGGCCAGGCTGCCTACCTCAGTGGTAAAGAAGCCTTTGGGTCGGTGTTTGCCCAGGGAAGCCAGGCCACCAGGCCCAGGACTCTCGCTTGCACTGATGGTCTGCTGAGCTGCCGCCAAGATTTCATCCAGTTTGTCTGGGGGGAGGCGGAAGAGGGGCAGAGAGACAGCGAAATGAAGTTGGCTTGGGCCTGGCGGGCACAGAGACGGAGCTTCTGGGCGCCCCATTCAGTGGCTTGTATGAACCAGGGACGGGCATCTCTGTCTCCCTCCCGGCGGGCCTCCTTGGAGACACAAGGTCCAGCCGGGCAGGGCAGGTGGGATGCAGCGATGGAAAGGGCTGAGGGCGGGGAAGAGGACAGCCATCCTTCGAGGGAGGGAGGGTGCGGCGGAGGCAGAAGGGGCTGCAAAGAGGCTCATGACAGAGGTGGGTGCTTAAACTTATCGGCTGGTGCACAGTCGGGGTGTGTGGATGATCAGTGTGGAAGTGGCTGAAGGGGGCGCGGGGCAGAGGGGACAGGGACGGGGTGGGTGTGGATGCAGCACCCCAGGGGGCGTGGGGTCGGGGGAGCTGCGGCCGCCCCCCGGGGAGCGCGGCTGGGCCATCTTACTGAGAGCCATCTGATACACGGTCCGCTTTTTCTCCATGCTGGGCACCGGCGGCGGCGGCTGCTCGTACTCTGTGGGCAATCGAGTCCGCCGGCGGGAACGGGACGGGGGCCCTCCCGCCAGTCCTGTGCCCACTCACCACTCTTCTTCTTCCAGGGGGAGACTAGCCCGGGGGGGAGGCAGTAGAGGAGCCAAGAGTTAGGACTTCGTGGGGAGGCGAGGGGCCCCCTCTCTGGAACGCCCGCCTCCCTCAGGGCCCCGGGGCTGGGGGGAACCGGACCCCCCGGGTCCGCTCGGCCTTGCCTGGAGGGAGGGGGCTCGCCTTCCCTTCTGTTAGTGGGAGTGAGGGCAGCTGGTAGCGGGAGAAATAGAGGATGCGGGTGGGGCTGCGGGGGGACAGACGGAGAGGAGCTAGAAAGGAAACCGGGACCCGCAGAGAGGAACGGTACAGACCCAGAGAGAGACACCCCGACAGAGAAACAGATATAAACAGGGAAAGCCGACTCTCAGACGCCCTTTCCCAGCAACACACACTCAGGTCAGTGGGAGCCTGACCCGTGGCCTGGGGGACGCGATGAGGACAGGAGCCCCTGGTCACTACCAACACTAGCAAGCCCGAGGGGTGGTCCAGCCGCCCGCGGCCCCCTCTCCCTCCGCAGCACCTGGTCCCCGGCAGCCCCGCAAGCTCACCCATCTCCTCCAGCTCGGAAGTCATAGACTTGGAACGCAAGGAGATGGTTGGGGGCGGGAGCCGCTTAGCTTGCTGGGGCGCTGGAAAAAAATGACGGTGAGGTCAGACGTCAGCACCATGGACAGAAACCCTCCAAGACCACCCCTACCCCCCACCACTGCGGCGCTCCCACAGCTCAGAGAAGAGATGCTGGCCATGGCGTTTAGTCGCTCAGTCGTGTCCGACTCTTTGGCGACCCCATGGACTGTAGCCCACCAGGCTCCTCTGTCCATGGGATTCTCCAGGCAAGAATTCTGGAGTGAGTTGCCATTTCCTTTTCCAGGGGATCTTCCAGCAAGCTGAGCTTTTGCTCAGTTCCTCTCCTGAGGGTCATGATCAAGCAGCCTTGGGGAGGGGAAGGCTGCTGCTACTGGTGGGACCACTGGGTCATTAGGGCTCCAGAAGGTCTTAGTCCAGTAGCAGTGGCGGGCGGGGGGAGTGTCCAAGCCTGACCACACAAGTCGGGGGAAGGAGCACCTTTCTTATGAACAGCTTCATCCATGTCCGGGTGCCTGGTGACCATCACCACCTTGACCATCAGCGTGTTGCCCCCTTGGCGGATCATGTTCACCACCTGCCGGTGGCCGACCTTCACCACGTTCTGCCCATTCACCTGTGGCACAGACACCCCCAACCACACCCGACAGGTGAGGGGTGGGATGCTTTCTGCTTCCGGGTCCCCGTCGAAGTGGCCTCCTTCTGCCTGGCCCTGTCTGTGGCACTGCCGGTCACTCTTCTCCTCCCCCCGTCCCCCTTGCAAGCCCCCACCTCTCCACTCCTGTAACTCTTAGGGCCTCAGGGTTGGGGAAGGGGCTGAGCCCACCCTATTTGCCTCTCTCCCTCCTTGTTCTCCAGCTGTGTGTGTGTGTGTGTGTGCACACGGACGTGCCTGCCTGCACACGCACACATGCGCGCGCACCTAAGCCCTAGGGGACAGCTCTGTTATCTTCTGAGATGCTTCAGAGAGGCTTTCAGATAGAATCACTGAAGAGGCTGGCTAGCTGCTGGGGGGTGGGGGGAAGGGCAGGGGGCTGGAAAGCTTGGTGCCAAAGGAGAATCTGGATCTGGGCAGCAGCATCTTGGCATGGATCATGAGGGGTCTGGGGATTTGTTGCTAGGGTCCCAGGGGAAAGCGCGGTGTCTGTGGCAGGTGGGCCAGGTGCTGGGTCTCTGGAGAAGCCCCTGGGAGGCTGGGGGCCAGGACTCACCTCGATGAGGAAGTCTCCCATTCGCAGTCCAGCCCGCCATGCCACACCGCCCTCGTCCACCGACTCCAGATACTGCAGTGCCGGGAAGGCTGGGGTGGGGGTGAACTCCTCGATGGGGGTCTGCGCTGCAGATGGGGAGGAGCCGGCGGGGTCGGAGGGGAGAGGGTGGAGAGGCCGAGCAGGGGATGGGGCTCAGACCCAAGTCACAGAGGCCTCACCGTAGCTGAGGGACCAGCACCCCGGGGTGGGGTGGTGGGCAGGTCGGGGGAGGGGTCCCAGGAAGGGGGGGGTCCCTTCCCCTGTCCGTCCCCCTGGGTCAGAGAGCCCTTCTCCCATCCCCACCCCGGCCGGCACTCACCCTTGGCCCCCCGGAGCACGAACCCAAACCCCTCACTGTCCTTCTTCTGCAGCAGAACTGTCTTCTCTTTGATGATGTAATCGCTGGCGGGGAGGGTGGGGGAGGGGTTGCCCCGCCAGTCACCTGGCGACCTGAACCTAAGCTCCAGAACCCTTCATTCCACCACCACCCCCCACCCAGGAGCCTCCTCACCCACTCCACGTGTGTCTGCTTGCAGCAGCCCTGACAGGCCTCTCCCCCTCGGAGCCTGGAGCACGCGGTCTCCCACTCACTCTTTCCTCATTCATCCATCGGCGCATCCATCCACCCATCCATTCAGCAAGCACGGCGGGAGGAACGCAGAGGTGAACCGCCAGATCGCCAGACAGCCTGGCTGGAGGCCCTGCTGGCCACTTCCTCTCTGTGACCTTGAGCCCTGACTTTAACCTCTGGGGCCTCGGTTCCCTTGTCTACAGCAGCGGACGATGACAGACCCCACCTGGTGGGGTCACCGTGCGAGTTCCCTCATCTATAGTGTATATAGTATTCAGCAGAGTGCTGGGTACAGAGCGTGTGCGCAATACGATGTGTTCTCTGTCTTTGGCCAAGTCTTTTAGTCCAGAGGACAGCTGTACTTGGATGATACCTCTCCCAACTCCCAGCCTATATATATATATACACACATACATATATACATGCTACGGTAACATCTCCCCAGGCCCCTGAGCAGATTGTTAACACTGCTTATTCAGCAACTGTCCAGTATGGTGGCCGCTAGCTGCCTGTGTCTATTTATATGCAAATTAATTAAAAATTAAATGGAAAAATTCAGTTCCTCAGCCTCACTAGCCACGTTTCCAAGGGCCCGGCAGCCACATACAGCTAGTGGCTACCACGCAGGATGGCCCAGATATGGAATGTCTCCATTGCCACAGAAAATTCTAGCGTGCAGCGATGACATCTACTTCCTGGCATACTCAAATGGATCTCCTTCATGCGGTCAGAGGATTCTAGCAAAATGAAAACTGCATGTGAATACGTGGAGAGTTCCCTGTAAGGCCGGATGCTCACATAGCCAGAAAAGTTCGGTTAAACGCAGACTATTTTGTGTCTCTCAACACCGGCCCCGGGCTCACTCAGGTAACAGCTGCAAACCCTAGATGTCACCACGGTGTACATCAGGGCTGCACATCCATTCCATTCCAGGAGCCCCAGTATACAGCAGGCACCCCAGAATACCCAGGCACCCCAGCTCCAGGCTTTTCAGAATACCCACTACCCCCCACCCCTGCCCCAGAGGCACCATGCCTTGCCACGTCCAGACACCCTGCAGTCATGTCTGAAACCTGGCCCAGAGCACAAGCAGCCCCCCCAATAATATCCACAGGCCCCAACACACTCCAATAATAGACAAGCATGCTCCCTACGTGTTCCAATTACCTACCCCCACAGATCTGGCAAAACAGGCCTCCACCAATACTCCAGTATATTTCAGCAACCCCCCTACACATCCCAGTATGCTCCAATAATAACTCCCCCACACTCTGATCTCAGTCTATTCCCATAACACGCCCCCTGAACACAAACCAGCACACGCCAATAATACTTAATGTGCTCCTACTGTATTTCGGCACCAACCCCCTCCACACATGCAAGCCCTGCTGGGTAGTCCCGTGACCCCTGACACATCCACGGTCGAATCCATACATTTGTACCGTAGGGACAGTGTTCTGCACATGCGCCCTGGCCCCTAGCTCTGCTCCCACCCATTATTAGAACCCCTCGGGCCCAACAGCAGGCATGCACATGTAGACACAGCCCACAACTGCCCTGGCTCAGAGCTGACGATGCTTCAGTAAACATGTCTATGCCATATCCATTACGTCTTCTAGACCTTATATTCAACCCAGGGATCGATCACCTTGTATCTGGGTGGAGAGGATGTTGGAAGAGAAGGAGGGAAGGGGTTGAAAGCGATGAAGAAGGGGAGGAAAGAGGTCAAGAAGGCTCCTTGAGTGGGTGAACGATGGGGCCAGTAGAAATGAGTTGAGAGGTTAGAGCTGCCTGCTTCTGACCATGAACTCCATAGCATCCTCGTCCCCAGCTCTGTGCCCACTGTGTAGCCTGACAACCTCCTCTGAGCCCTCAGGCCCTCGCTGCCCCCATAGCCCTTCCAGATCTCCAGGGCCCCCAGTGGCCAGTAATGCTCTTCAGATCCCCTTTATTCCTCATTTACAGCAATTTCGCTTTCATTCATCCATCCCACAAACCCTACCTTTCCCCCATCCCCCTCAATCTCTCTTTCACCCCCACAATCTCCTCACACTTCATACATAAGCCTCCCCCAAACATCCAGCCCCTAATACAATTCAAAAAGACTCCTTTATCCATTAAATGGGAAGAAATAGCCTGTGCTATGTCAACCAGCATCTGAAGCCCCTCACAGGTAAATGACTCAATCCATCATCTCCCACGGCCGGCCTCTAGGTAGGCGTGAGTACCATTTCCACTTTACAGATGAGGAAACAGAGGCACAGAAAGGTCAAGGAACTTGCCTGAGCTCACACAGTGAACAACATTCTTCAACAATTCCCAAGAAAGTACCCGGGTAGGTGCAATAGTAACACCCTCCACTCCACTGAAACCAAACACCCCAGTACATATACATTTGCCCCCAATTCACCATGAACGTGCCCCTCCAGTGCCTGAAATTTATCCCAGGCTATGCCCATAGCAAAACAAGTAACATTTATTGAACAGTTGCTGAATGCCAGACGGCATTCCAAGCACTTTACGTTTATTTATTCATTCAGTCCTCATGACACCCCCTGGAAGGGGTTGGCTGTTATCATTCCAGTTTTATAGATGAAGAAACTGAGGCACAGAGAAATAAGTTTGCTCAAGATCACACCTGCCAGAAAAAAATGTCACAGCCAAGATCTGAATTCCCCATAGGCAACCCATGCATGCACGCATGCTAAGTCGCTTCAGTCATGTCCAACTCTGTGCGACCCCATGGACAGCAGCCCACCAGGTTCCTCTGTCCATGAGATTCTCCAGGCAAGAACACCGGAGTGGTAGGCAACCCATATACCCCAATAATATCCAAACACCAGCAGATCACCCCATCCCTCCCTCTCGAGTCTCCCCATCCTGGACATACACCTGTCTTTCCCATGACTTTCTCACCAACCCCCAGCTCTGCATGCTGTCTCTCTCATCCTTCTTGAACTGCCCAATTGCCCTCTTGTGCCCACAACTCCCTACAACTGGGTATTCCTTCTCCCCTACTCCTGAGTATACCTTCTTGCTCTGCACCTGGATCCCCCCTCAAGTTGTCTGAAAGCTCCCCAGGACCCTAACCCACTCCCCACCAGCTCTCACCTCTGCAAGCCCGCATTACACCCCACGGGGCCATCCCCCCACTTCCCATCCCCTTTCCCAAAGTTGTCTCCCACAGATTTCTGTGACCTCCTCACCCCCTCTCAGGCCAGCTCTCCCTCTCCTTTGCCCTCATCCCTCCCACAGCCTCTTGAGCCTCAGTATAGAGCCCCACTGTATCCCCTACAGCATCCTAGGTTTCTTTCCTACTCCAGTTCCCCCCCCCCCCATCCATTCTCATCCGTGGAAGCCTCCTCCTACTTTCGCATCCTCAATTCACTTCACCCTTCCTTCTGTCTCCTTTCACTGGCAGCTGCATTTCATTTACATTCCCTGCATCTCCTCTCTGTGCTCTCCCTGAACTGCCTGAATCCCTGCCCCCCAATCCTCTTCACACTTCCTGCACCCCCTCCTTACCCCATTCCTCCGTTCGCCCCGCGCACACGCTCTGCTCCGGCGTTCCCCATTCCTCCCCCGACTTCAGTGTCCCCCACTCCCCCCTGTTCCCTTTCCATCCTGCCAGCCTCCTACCCAGACCCTCTAACCCCGCCCCCTGCCCTACCGTTGGCGACCCACGCAGCACCCCATTCATGCTCCCGTAGGGCTGACTACCTGCCCTGCAGGAGCACACACAATGTTCCGCCCCAGGCCATCCCTCGGCGACCCTGAGCGGCCTCTGGAGCCCAGCGGCCAGCTCTTGTTCACCAGATCCCACACACAGGGACTGCAGCAGCCTCCACTCCCCCCACCCCCACCCCGAAGGTCCCTCTCGCACACCCAGGATCCCACAGCCCAGAGCCTGCTGCTGTACATGGCACCCCCCTCTGGCACTCAGCCCCTCCCCGTGTCCCAGCGCCACGGGGCCTCTCCATGGCCTGCCCAGAGGGCGCCCCCCGCCCCTGCAGGGAAGCCAGCCCCCTCCCATGCTGAGGAGTGACACAGAAGCAGATGCAGTTCCCCGTGCAGAAGCTCGACCGTGTCTCAGCACACGTGCCCCACACAGGCACGGACCCCTGGGGCAGGGAGAGGGGTGCGTGGGGACGGGGACCGGGGACCGGGGAAGGGTGGTTGTGGGGGAGGGGACAGGCCTGGTCAAGGAGGGTGGGTGTTGGGAAACACAGCCGCAGTCCCTGGGACAGACCCCCCCCACACACACACGCAAACACACTAGTCCCCAGACAGCCTCGCTATCGCTCCAAGTCACACACAGAGATAGACGCCGGCAAACAGGGACATACAGATGGACACAGTTGGGGGGTGGGCTGGGAGCCCACCATCTCTCTCTCTCTCTCTCTTGCTCACACACACACATACACACACACACACAAACAGGGCTGCAGGCAGTCACACACACGCACGCACACCGCCACAGCCATAGGGACACACACACCGTCGCACAGTGACACGCAGCGGAAAAAGAGGAGGGGAGGGGAGACGGGGGCGGGATGCGTATGTGATGGGGGGAGATGACTGTGAATGGGAGAGAGGGGTATGAATGGGGGGACTTGCCAACTCCGTGAAGGGGTGCGGGGACACAGGGATCAGAGGAACGCGGGCCTGGGGTGTAGATGCCTGAGGGGAGGGCTCTAGAGTGGGGGCGCTAAGGGTGGCAGGAAGGACAAGTGGGGCCCGAATCCCGGAGTGGAGTCCATCTGGAGGGCCTCCTTAGGAGGGACGTCCTGGAGAAGGAGCTGAAGGGGGCCTAGAAGGGCCTAGGAGGGGCCAGAGGAGTGTGTGTGTGCGTGTGTGTGTGATACAAGGTCTCTAAGAATTC